CATAAAGTTATATATATATATATAAGGAAAGCTCTCAATAGGCAAGAGAACGAGCTGACTATTCCCCGTTACTGTTACCACCATGTTGTAACTACTATGTCTGACTACAACTAGTAATTACTACTGGCCGAACAATTCTTATACCTTCTCCACTGACCGTGAAGTCTGTCGAAAAGGGCCGTTTCAACTCTAACAATACGCCAGAAGGGATCATCAAATTTTAGGAACCGTAAAGCTAACTACATATATACATACGAAATTTCATAATAAATTTTATTTTACTACCGACAGATGTTTAATTAACTTTTACTGTATCTACAAAAAAAAAAAAAATCGTTATCAAAAAACAATATATAACAAGCTTATATAACGACTTTCATATTTTTTTTTGCGCGTTTTATATAATGCGAGCTTCATTCCATACGAAAAAAAAAATTGTTTCAAAATATTCTTTCTAAATCTGAATTAGTTAAAAAATGTTTACTAATTTGAATTAGTGACTCACTTTTTGCTTCCGAATTAGTAAAATTTTACTAATTATTACACTCACAGAAAAAAGATATGTTTGAATCAAATGTACCATTTTTTTTTATATTTACCCAATTTTTTGGTTATAGTTCAAACAAAATTTGTTTAATTCAAATAAATATTTATTTGATCTAAATAACTGTTTGGTTTATTTTAATAAATTTTTTGAAGAAAGAAAAAATTTGATTCAGCTAAATAAACGTTTGGTTTATGTAACCAAATGTTTGGTTAACTGTATACACTGAAAAAAAAAATTTATTTAGATCAAATAAAAAGTATTTGATCCAAATTACATCATTTACTTGTCTATTATCCAATAAATATGTATTTGAACCAAATACACATTTACTAAATCAAAGTATTTTATTTTATCGTATCAAATAAATAGTTATTTGAATCAAATACAAAATATTCAAATCAAATAAATGGAATATTCAAAGCTAATAAATAATTATTTCAATCAATTATGAAAATTATTCCATTCAAATAAATATTTACTAAACATAAGTATTTTATTTTATCGTATCAAATAAATAGTTATTTGAATCAAATACAAAATATTCAAATCAAATAAATGGAATATTCAAAGCTAATAAATAATTATTTGAATCAATTATGAAAATTATTTCATTCAATACTGCATGTTTTTTAATTCAAATAAATATTTATTTGCATTAATAAAATATTTTTCTTGAAACAACTAAAAAATTTTCTTGAATCAAATATTCGATTATTTGTTATAAGTAATTGTTTTAATTGAAACTAAAACCTCTTTAATTGCGGCAATTATTATTTTATTTGGATCCAAATACATAATTTATTTGCATAAAATATAAGAATTTTTTGATTCAAATAAATCAAAATTTGAATTGAATAAATAACATATTTATTTACTAATTCTTCCATTTCTAAATTAAAATCTTAAATAAATTAAAAAATATGTAATTTCTGCATACTATGATTGCATATTATATTATTTATTATTCGAATATCCTAGGATATTCCAAAAACATCCCTTGGATATCCTAGGGATACCCCAGGGATATCCTAAGGATACTTTAAGGATATCCAAAGTAGCGGCGTTTAGGATATCTTAGGGATATCCCAGGGATATCTAAGGATGTCCCTAGGACGTCCCAGGGATATCCTAATCATTTCCCCGGATATTATTAGGATATCCTCAGGACGTCCTAAGGATATCCCAAGGATATCCCTGGAATAATTAGGGATGTCCTTAGGACGTCCTAAGGATATCCACAGTATGTTTATATTATCTTAAGGGTTAGAATATCCTTGAGTCGTTCTAAAAATGTCCCTAAGGTATCCATAAAACGACCCTAACATACAAATTAATTAAATAAAAATGGAAAACATATTTTTTGGATGTATTTATAATGTATTTCCAAGATATCTAAAATATATATATAATGATATCCTATGGAGATCTTAGCGATATTTCTAAAATATTTTAACGATATACCAAGTTTATCCCTGGGATATCCCCACGATATCACTAGGATATCCGTGGAATATCCCAGGGATATCCCTAGAATATCCTCAGGATATCCCCAGGATATCCCAAAAATATCCTACGTAACGGCGGTTTGGATGTTCTGAAGATATCCTCAGGATATCCTAGGATATCCTACATTAGTATAGGATATCCTTTTGTTGTGAGGGAACGAATGTTAATTTCTTGATGTCATTTAAATTTTCAAAAGATCTAACTCAGAAAAGTGCTTAACATCATTTAGTTAAAATTAAGATATTAAATTAAATTTTCCAATTAAATGCAATTTATAAAATATAATTAATTATATGCTTCATGATTATTATTATCATGAAACATCCCAGGTGAATTTTCAAAAAAAGTGTAAATATATTTTTATTAAAAACGCGTTTTTCGTTGTTCTGAATCGTTGTAAATATTAATTTTTTGTTGATGAAAAAATATTTGACTTTTTGACTTACAATATTAAATAATATATATATATAAATAAATGAATAGCATCAAATAAGTCATTATTATCATTACACTTAAATATTTAATTGATCAAAATATTTTATTTTCCTTTAATAAAATAGTGTATTAACATTAAATAACACATTATTTATATTAAATAATTTAATTAATTAGAATTAATAAAGTTATTGTATAAAATACTTTTTATTTGTATGAAAAAAAATGAAATATTTGAATCATTGAATGAAATAAATTAATTAATAGATGCAAGTAACTCATTATTTTCGTTTCAAATAAACATTTAATTGATTAAAATATTTTTTTATTTGTCTTGATAAAATAGTGTATTAGTATTAAATAATTTAGTTTACTTTAATCCATTAAATAAAAGTTATTGTATCAAATACTTTTTATTTATTTCAATAAAACGAAATATTTGAGTGAAATAAATAAATAAATTGTTTCAAGTAAATCATTATTATCGTTTCAAAATGAATATTTAATTGATTGAATTATTTTTTTATTTGTCTTGAAAAAAAAAGTGTATTAGTATTAAATAATTTAGTTTACTTGAATCCATTAAATAAATGTTATTGTATCAAATACTTTTTATTTGTTTCAATAAAACGAAATAGTTTTGAGTGAAATAAATAAATAAATTGTTTCAAGTAAATCATTATTATCATTTCAAAATGAATATTTAATTGATTGAATTATTTTTTTATTTGTCATGATAAAATAGTGTATTAGGTATTAAATAACGAATTATTTGTATTAAATAATTCAGTTTATTTGAATCAATTATACATAAATTTATTGTGTCAAATATTTTTTATTTGTATCGCAAATAAACGAAATATTTGAGTGAAATAAATGAATGAATAGTTTCAAGTAACTTATTATTTGTATTAAATAAATTCATTTATTCAATTCAATTAATTATTTAATTGAACCAAATACGATATGTATTTGGTTCAAATAAATGCAATTCAAATAATTCAAGTTATTTGAATCAAATACATATTTTTTTGATCTAAATAAAAAGTATTTGAACTAATTAAATATTTTTCAAATAATTTGAAGTATTTGGAATCAAATAAATTTTTTTTTCAGTGTATCAATACATTTATTTTGTTGATTTAACCAAAATTTGATTGCTTCAAACGAGTTTTTTTTCTGAGTGCTAATGACCAGTACTAATAAACGTTATCATCCGAAACATATGCCAGTATTGGTTGAATATTGTCGGTCAGTACTTTGCCAGTACTGGCGCTTAGGTAATTCAGATTTAGAGAGTGAGTTTTGTTTTCGATGATTCTAATTAGTTGAACTACTGTTTTCTTTCTAAATGTAATTTTCTCCTGATATTCATTTTACAAAATATACACACACATAAAAATGATTTAACACACACTCAAATGAAAGCAATTTTAAGTTTCGAGAAGCAACATAAAATACAGTTTCCAAATTGAGTTCATGGAGTTCGGGGGTAGGGGGGGGGGGGGGTGGAGAAATGTAATTAGAGACCAACGATTGTTGTAATTCAAAGGTATGGGGGCTCTAAATGAAGTCGAGTACTACTACTCGGTTAATATCGAAGCCGCGCGCGCGAATGACCCGAATAAATTAACATCGCGAAGGAAATTCACGATTGGCGAAAAGTTTCTCGGTCTTTCCAATCAACGTCTTCGATTTCTTCTTTGCGAATGACAAAAAAAAAAGTTCAAAAAAAAAAAAAAATTGAACAAAAAAGCAAAAAAAAGATATAGTTAACTCTGGGGAAAAGTTTATAAAAACCTATATTGTCGTTCAGAAAAAAGAGAACGCTGGGGTAATAATAACTTTCGATATCACGTGCCATTGGGAGTTAATTTAATTCTTCGATTACGACTCATTTAATTGGCGTCATTCGTCGTCGTTTTATATTTTCCTACCTCAACATTATCCAAATGGCATTTATCGCAAATAAAAATTGACCGATTTTTATGACTCAAATGTCTGTTAATTTTCATTCAATAAAATTTTTTTCTCTCATTTTTTTTTTATTTTTAAAATTTAATTTCGAAATTTATTTATTTTAACTAAAAAAGTATTTTAATCTCATTCTATAATAATATACAGGAGAAAATAAATTCTTCTTTATCACAAGATTTAAAATGTTAAATACAAAAATTCTATATTTTAATTGAATTTATATAAAAAATTAAAATATTTTACTAATTACTCTCTAAATCTGAATTAGTGAAAATGTTTACTAATTTGAATTAGTGACTCACTTTTTGCTTCTAAATAAGTTAAATTTTACTAATTGTTAGTAAAATTTTACTAATTCAGAAGCAAAAAGTGAGTCACTAATTCAAATTAGTAAACATTTTTAGTTTTTACTAATTCAGATTTAGAGAGTATGAAAATTGTATTTAAATATTTTAAAAATCCGCCCCAACTCTTTTAAATCTCGTATCATGAGACAAATCGAATAATAAAATGAAAATTTTCTTTTTTTTTGCAGTGCAATCAACACTTTCAAAGAGGCAAGACGAAACAATAGAAGATTCGCGTAAAGTGCCAGTAAACTTGACTGCAACACGAACATCACTCATTGCAACCGATGGTAAGTGCGTAAAAAAAAAAAGAAAGAAAAAGAAAAAATAAAGGAAATAAATAAAATATATCTAAACCTCGCGTGGAATTACCTTGTCGTCCATTTTCGTCTTTACGAGGGCAGATTATAGCCGTTGAGCCTCAGCTTTCAAGCACGAAACGTTAACTTTTGTGTTGGTTTGTTTCACTGCATGTTGTGTTCGCACAAAACGAGGTTCGTTTCTCTTGCACAAACAATGCGAGATATATCTAGGTTGAAGGGGGCAAAACTTTACGATGTATATCCACACTTCAACCTATAATATAGTCTCGGTATCGAGGTAAATTAAAATTTCTTTTAATTAGTCCACACGCTATTATTACATATATATATATATATATATATATATAGGTATAGATAGAAATTTCTCCGCGAAATGTAAATTTATACACAACTTGAAATTATATTCGAATTTTGCGAACAAGACAATAAAAATAGTAATATTTTTCGGACTTATGAATATTCTTCTCAAATAGATGTGATGGAATTTTTGTAGTGGGGAATTGAAAATTATCGAAAATTTTTATTTAGGGTCAACCGGGGTAAATCCGAACGCTAATTATTTCAGCTTAATTAAAATTTTAAAAAATATGTTAGACATGAGAATTTTTACCTCAGATCCTTTTCAAGAGATTCTAAATATTATCCCATTTTTCGTTTGTTAATTAGCAACAGCATAAACAAAGATAACGAGTATTGCAAAAAAAAAGATTGAAAATCAAAAATGACACTCTTTCAGTATTTTGTCTCGTATTTGAAGAAAAAGAAGCTAAAAATTCATTTTATTATTTATAATTGTTTGTTATGAATACCTAGAACAGAAACTATTTTTCATTTTTGCCTTCTGTAAAATTTTATTAATAATATCAGACCGTTCGTATTTACCCCGGAAAATTGGAAAACCGCACGGAAAGAAATTTTCTGTAGAATTTACAGAAACTCCTGCGCCATCTACTATGATGTTTCTCCAAATAGAGAAATTTTTAGAATCATTGGCATTAAAATCTGTTAATTCTACAAGTTTGAGCTACAGTTCTTAAAAACTGTTGAGTGACCAAATTATGTATACTATATGGGGATAATATATATTTGGTAGAGTATTTCTTATAGGTTATATTCTCCTCCGAATACATTAAATTCGCGGAACATTATTGTATAAATTAGTATAACTTCTATGTAAATAAATTCATCCTTCAATAATTTTCTAACAAAAAAAATGAGGAGCAAGTTTTCAAAACTTATATGATAAATCCACTTTTTCTTATGTCGAGAAATTGAAACAAACGACTTTTCTCACTTAATCACTACAGTTAATTTTAAAATAAAAAATTTCTAATAATTTATTTCTATAATAATGTTTATATACTTAAGACGTTTCCTTTTTAATTAAACTTTCTTGCCGACACTATGATAATAATAAAAACACTAAATTCGCCTTAACCTCTCGCACTCAATCGTACTCAGCCTTAGTCGAATCACTGCATTGTTTTCGCGCATGCGTTAAATCCTTACAGAAAATATCTGTAGAATTAACAGATTTAGGAACATGTAAAATCTTGAAATCGATGTTAAAGAATTACCAGAAAATTTTTTTCTGTGTTCGCTCGAAAATTGTTACTCGGGGGGTTTCAGGGTCGCTGATTACGAATTTGGCGTTAGTAAATTTGATCATTTTTAAAAATAAGTTTTAGGAAAGTCCACCATTTTGAATTTAAAAAATTTGACTTTTATTTTTGTATTTACATTCAATCACTCCAAAATACTTTCTGTAGCAAGTTTTGCAAAAATCCGTTATGATTTGATAAAGTTATTGAAGGTTTTAATTGTGTAATGCATTTTAATTTTTAACCTGTTTGATTTTTGTATTTATATATGATGCATTATTACATAATAGGTTTATTATCGTATTTTTTTTTTGAGTTTTTATATAAGTTTAATAATTGCAATACTTTAAATTTATTTTCCCTAAGATTTTTCTGAAATACAGTGGCGTTCGTATTTACCCCGGTATTTTAGGAAAGTTGCAATGTATCGAGGTAAATACAAACGCTAAGTTTTCTGCAATTGTAATTTATCAAAAAATTTTGCTACCCCATAAAAATGTTCTATGAAAGTAAAGTAACAACTTCATGCACCAGAATACCGGAAGTAATTTTTTTTTAAAGAAAAAACTTATGTTATTGTTGAAACTTACTAAAAGCGTTCGGATTTACCCCGGCTGACCCTAAGGTAGAATTTTAAAATTTTATAACGAATTTTCATTTTAATGAATTTTTTTCCGTGTTGGAATTTTTATTTAACTCAATCTTAATTCAGTAGAAATTTTAACTAATTTGAATTTTTCTTCTTTTTTAATTAAAAAACTTTTTGATTTTGAATTAGTTAAATTTTACTAAATGTTTAGTAAAAAAAATTTCTTTTTTACTATTAATTATAGGTAAATTTTACTAATTCAAAAGCAAAAAGTTTTTTAATTAAAAAAAAATTCAAATTTGTTAAAAATTTTACTAATTCAGAGAGTAGCAAAATTTTCAGAAAAAAAATTATTTTTATTTATCAAAATTGTTCTATTATCGAATTTCTATTTATCCGAATATTTACTGAACAGTATTTTCATTAACTGAATTTCAATTTAATAGAATTTCTATATAACAAAATTCTTATTATACAAAACATTTATTGAAGAAAATTTCTATTTGACCTAATTTTTATTTAACAAAATTGTCATTTAACTGAAATTCTATTTTAGCTAAATTTTTAAGTGAATGAATTTCTATTTCACCGGAACTCCATTTGACCGAATTTTCACTTGTCCGAACTGTCAGTCCGAACTGTCATTTAACGAATAAATTAATAAAATAAATTAATAAAATAAAATTATTTTTTCTTTACTTATTTATTCTCACTTGTACACAGAAAAAACTTGGACTCATTTTTGTTGCAACTCATTTTCTTTTGGGTATCGAAATGAGTATGGGACAAACTTCATGTTATTCAAAATGATATTGGCTGGAATTTCAGATTTCTAAGTTGGCATCATAAGCAGAGTAATTTTGTATTTCAATTATTGTTTCTAATATTTCAACAACACCAGAAAGATTATTTTGACCAGTACGAATATTTAGAAGTTTTTAAATAAAAATTATTTATTATTATTTACGTAGATAATAATTAATTTCATAAGTTTTTAAATTTACCGCTATTATTTAAGTTGGCAGTACCGTTCCTGTTGTCAAAACACATGTTTTCATTTTTCTAACCTAAAAACATATTTCCTTTATTATTTTATTACGCGATTACAAGCAATTTTTAATCAAATATATTAAGTCTAGCGTGTTATTTACTTCTTTGTAATTATTATATTTCATGTTTTTGTGCAAAATTATTCGTTATTTCACAATATTTTTCCATTTTTCTTTTTCTCAAAATGAAACTTGCCTGTTTCATTTTGATACTTTTACCTTAGAACTCGAAATGAAACAACCAGTTTCATTTTTGTTGCGAATCAAATTGAGTATAGAATCTATACTCAATTTGAATTCAGGTTTTTTCTGTGTACAGGCAAAAAAATCTTTACCTTGAACAGCGATAAGTCTCTTTGGAACAGCAATATATTTCTCTAGAATAACGAAAACTTTTACTATTTTGAGTGAAACATATCGCTGATCTAAGTGAAGATTTTTTTGCGTATTCTAAAATGTGAAGCATTAAATTAAAAATGTCAGTAACAATAATTTTTTTAAACATTTCAATTTTTAAATAATGAAAGAAACAAAAAATTTAAAGTTAATAATTAGCTAAAAATTAACTAATTAATATTAATTTATTTATTCCAAAAAAAGAATAAGTGAAATTCTAAATGAAAGTGAAAGTGTAAATAGTTACTAAAAATTAAACAGAAATTCTATATTAAATCAGAAAGTTAAATAAAAATTCTATTAAATCAGAATTTAGTTAAAATAAAAATTCTTTCATAAAAAAATTCATCTTAATAAAAATTCATTATAAAATCCTATAAATTTAGGTCTTAATAAAAATTCGTTATAAAAATTCATTTAAATAAAAATTCACCAATTTTTAATTCAACACCAGAAAAAAATTCCAACTGCTCTAATCTAAAGAATATTCACACGCTCCTTAATTTTCCATCATCAAAGAAAAAAAAAAAAACGTATTTCTTTTTTTAAACAAAAAGAATTTAATTAAAAATAAATCTATTCAAAAGAGAAAAAAAAAATTTTTTTTCACTAAAAATGACGAGTGCGGTTCTTGGAATATTAATCATTCCCCTTTATAAAGTCATATCCTATTTGAATTTAACGTCTTTGAAAGTATAAAGACATCGTTCACTATTAATGGGGCAATTAATTACAAACTTTTTATTAATGAAAGATCCTGTGTGTGAAATAATGTGAATTTCTTTTTATCCCAGTAAAAAAAAAAAAAACTTTTTCAAAAACTATTTTTATTTTATTTAGAAAAAAAGATCTCTAGCAAATCAAAGTACCCTGATTGATTAAAGATTCCCTTCTTTTTCTTTTTTTTTGAGGAATAATACATATGTCTCTTTTTTAACTCTACTCAAGATATCTCTTCAAGGAACACGTTAACTCTCTTATAGGGTCCGCGCGTCTTGGGAAAAGTTACCCGTTCGTGTCAGCTCAGTAATTTAATCGGGCAGCGGTGCAATTACCGACGACGAAACTTACCCTGACAAAGTGTGTAACTCGTGACGTTGCCACCGGGCGGTCTTAATGACTCCCCACAGCCGCCAACTACATATATATATATTTAAGTGGATAGAGACGATAAAATATAAGTGACGATTTTTTCTCCAGAGAATCTTGTTCAAAGGAGAAAAAAAAGAAGAAAAAAAATCTCTTTGTCACCCCACAACCAGATAATAATTTCACAAAATAGATCAAAATTAAAATTTACTCACATTTTTGTTGAACGAAATAATCTGAAAAAGAAAATAAAACACTTTTTAATAATTGAAAATTTTTTAAATTCTTTGTTAAAAAGATAATTGAAAATAATATAATTAAAAAAAGCTCTATATGGACTTAAAATTACAGCAAATTTTGTCTATAGATGCCGTATGGCACTATTTAAATATTAAACATGGGGGGGCCACAAATGTTTACAAAAAAACCCTTTAATATTATTGAAAAAAGTAGTATTTTTTTTAAATACAAAATTAAACATAGAAATCTACATTACCGACTGATGGTAAAAGAGTAAAATGAAAATATAAAAATTACCGACACAGAAATCTACATTACCGACTGGTGGTAAAAACAAACTTCATCCCTTCAGTCGATAATGTAGATTTCTATGTCGGTAATTTTTAAATCATCATTTTTTTTCTGTTTTACCTTCAGTGGGTAATGCAGATTTCTATGCCGGTAATTTTTATGTCATCATTTTTGTCTGTTTTACCACCACTTGGTAATGTAGATTTCTATATCGGTAATTTTTTATATTTTCCTGTTTTACCATCAGTCGCTAATGTAGATTTCTAGGTCGGTAATTTTTTATATCATCAAAAAATCAATTTTTAACCTTGTTTAAAAAAATACTGTTTTCGATAATATTGAAAGTTTTTTTTTAAAACATTTGTGGTTCCCCATGTTTAATATTTAAAAAGTGACATACAGCATCAAAAAATAGACAAAAATTTGCTGTAATTCCAAAGCCCATATAGAGCTTTTTTTTAAATTAAATCTATTCTGGGCCGAAGGGGAGGCCTTTTATTAGTCTTAATTTTGAAAAATTTACTGTCACAGAAATTTTTTTTGATCCCACAGCAAACATATCGCTATTCCAAATAAATATTTTTTTCCGTGTTGGAATTTTTATTTAACTGAATTTTAATTCAGTAGAAATTTTAACTAATTTGAATTTTTCTTCTTTTTTTAATTAAAAAACTTTTTGATTTTGAATTAGTTAAATTTTACTAATTGTTTAGTAAAAAAAATTTCTTTTTTACTATTAATTATAGGTAAATTTTACTAATTCAAAAGCAAAAAGTTTTTTAATTAAAAAAAAAAATTCAAATTTGTTAAAAATTTTACTAATTCAGAGAGTAGCAAAATTTTCAGAAAAAAAATCATTTTTATTTATCAAAATTGTTCTATTATCGAATTTCTATTTATCCGAATATTTACTGAACAGTATTTTCATTAACTGAATTTCAATTTAATCGAATTTGGTAAAATGGTAAAAACAAACTTCATGCCATCAGTCGATAATGTAGATTTCTGTGTCGGTAATTTTTAAATCATCATTTTTTTCTGTTTTACCTTCAGTGGGTAATGCAGATTTCTATGCCGGTAATTTTTATATCATCATTTTTTTCTGTTTTACCACCACTTGGTAATGTAGATTTCTATATCGGTAATTTTTTATATTTTCCTCTTTTACCATCAGTCGGTAATATAGATTTCTAGGTCGGTAATTTTTTATATCATCAAAAAAGCAAGTTTTAACCTTGTTTACAAAAAATACTGTTTTCGATAATATTGAAGGTTTTTTTTAAACATTTGTGGTTCCCCATGTTTGATATTTAAAAAGTGACATACGGCATCAAAAAATAGACAAAAATTTGCTGTAATTCTAAAGCTCATAAAGAGCTTTTTTTAATTAAATCTATTCTGGGCCGAGGGGGTGTCTTTTATCAGTCTTAATTTTGAAAAATTTACTGTCATAGAAAATTTTTTTTAATCCCACAGCAAATTTTTGCGCTGTCTCTATATTAGCAAAGGTAATTTGATGTGACAGCAAATAATTCTTTGCAACAGCAAATTTTTTCTATGCGTGAAGAGAATTAAAAAATTAGAATCTATGAAAGTGAAAATGGAATTTCATAATCTACCCCTAGCTAAAAATGATGTACTTTTTTTTTTCGTTTTTTAAAAAATGAAAAATGATTTCACAATGAAAAATTGTTCGGCGCGAAAACGAGGCAGTTTGTCGAAATGGTTTCCATTTAGTCGATGTCGTAAATCGTTGGCCCTGTTAGGCCAGAGCATTTTATATGCGGCTATTTTAATTGCGGTGAGCTCGTAATTTATAGAAGTTACGCGTTCCAATGTGCTAGTTGGAGGACGTTTGGCTTGGCCACTAGAGTGTCAGGACTGTAACGTTCGCGATGACTTCATTACCGACATACACCATAGCTCGCAAATTACACATCAATTTTTTTTTTCTCCCCTTTTTCAATTTTACAAATATCGAAAAAATTTTATTTTTTTTTTTTAAATTCATTTAACATTACAATTTATTAATTACAATATATTAATTTTCTTAATAAAAATTACAAAAAAAGGAAAATTAGAATATAATAAACAAAATCAAAAATTATTTTTATGATAAAATTTTTATTATAAAACATGTAAAATATGTTTAACACACACAGAGGGAAAATTTATTACACATTGTATGTATTTTTAATGTTCTCGAATATTTGTCAATCAAAATTCTATATTGCCATTATTAAATTACAATAAATGTTTTGTAAAATTTATTACCATACTCGTACATGATATAGTCAATGAACTTGAAACTGATATTAAATCATGAGAGAATGAGTAATGTATATGGAATATTCCATATTATCCACAACTGAAATAGATATTAACTCTATAACGTTTCGCATGAATTTGAGTGTTGGCATGTGGAAAGCAAGCGTTCAACTTGGGATGCTCGATTCGAATTGCATTCAAATTATTCAATTTTACTATATTCCCCCTTTCCATAAGTTTAGCCAAAGTGAGCGAGAGAGAGAGAGAGAAACGAAACTATATATTGAAGTTCAATAACGAAATTTATATCAAGTGCCCGATGGGCATATATTTAATATATACAAAATACTTTCCGCATATGTTAAACGTTTTTTTTGCTTATAAAAAAATATGAATGAATAATAAAAAAATTAACACTGAAAAAAAAATGTTGCCGAGAAATTCAACTACCTTTGGGTAGTTGACTAGAAAGTAGTTAAAATAACTACTTTTTTAGTTAATCTAATCATGTTGATGTAACTATTTTTAAGAAGTTAATAAGTAATAGTTGATTTTACGTAAATATGTAGTTAAAGTACAACTACAGGTCGGTAGTAAAATTAACTTTCTTAACCCTTTCGTTCCCAAGAAAACCTGAGAACTTCAAAAAAGATAAGTGAAATTGTTCTTACAATTTTTCGGGTCGCTGATGACAAATTTGAGGTCAGATTTTTCAAATTTTTAAAATTCAAAATGGCGGATACAACATGGCGGACAATTTTTTTTAAATGTGATTAAATCCGCTCGAAAATGGCTACTCGGGGGGTTTTTGGGGTCGCTGATGACGAATCCGGTATTAGTTTTTGAAAATTCAAAATGGCTGATCCAAAATGGCGGACAAATTTTTGAAATTGTTAGATTCGCCTGAAATTTGTTACTCGGAGGTTTTCGGGGTCGCTGCGATTACGAATCTGAAGGCAGATTTTTAAAATTTTCATAAATCAAAATGGCGGATAAAATTTAAAAAATTGACCCAATTCGTTTCAAACTCGCTTCTCGAGGGTTTTTGGGTTTTTTTTTTTAAATTCGTACACCATATTGGATCCATCTTTGAATTTTTAGAAATTTCAAAAATCTGACTCCAGATTCATAATTAGTAACCTCAAAAACCCTTGAGAAGCAAGATTAAAACGAATTGGGTCAATTTTTTAAATTTTTTATCCCATGTTGAATCCGCCATTTTGAATTATGAAAATTTTAAAAATCTGCCTTCAGATTCGTAATCAGCGACCCGAAAACCTCCGAGTAACAAATTTCTGGCGAATCTAACAATTTCAAAAATTTGTCCGACATATTGGATCGGACCTTTTTTTATTTTTGAAAACTAACACCGGATTCGTAATCAGCGACCCAAAAAAACCCCCCGAGTAACGAGTTTCAAGCGAATTGCATTAGATTTTCCAAAAGTCGTCCGCCATATTGGATCCGTCATTTTGAATTTTGAAAAACTAACATTGCATTCGTAATCAGCGACGCCGAAAACCCCCGAGTAACAAATTTCAGGCGAATCTGAACGATTTTAAAAATTGGTTTTTTTTCAGTGAATAAAATAAAATAATAATAAATATAATAAAAATTAGTTTAAAAATTTTAAAATTGATTTACATATACGAAAAAAGAGGAGTTTTTTTTTAGTACACGACTTCCGGTACGAGCCGGAAGTGGCGTGAGAGAGAGCACATCGGACATTTAAGTGTCGACCCTTGAGCTCCACAAATTAAATATCCTCTGTCTCCTCGTTCTGCCTCTTTCTACTTGAAAAGCTCCGAACCTGGAAAGTACTCACAGCTGTGCGAACCATATATACATATATATATATATATATATATAGGTAAAACGGCTTTTCACAAACTTGATAGTTAGGTATAATTTATTCGAATTTAAACATCTCTTACGTCGACGAATTTAATTTCAAATTCAAATTTTGGTACTTGCATTTATTTGGCAATAGCGCAATAAAATTATTCAGGGGTCCATTACCATTTTCATTCACAAATTATATAAAGACACCTCAGTTTACCAATTTCCGATTAATTTATATAATAATAATAATTTTAAATAATATGCAAATTATTTATGAATTAATGTTTCTATATTGATGAAAATTATAATATATTTTTGGCAAATTTTATATATTGCCAATGACAAAATTATAAATGATAATACGATTAATAAGTTTGTTCCCCCACCCCCCTTTACCCCTTTAATATTTATAACGAATTTTAAGTGTATTTATATGCAAATTAATTTAAGCAATCAATTTTATCACTCTCATCACTTGAGAAATATATTTTATCATTGTTCACAATAACATTACAGTTTACTAATTTGGGTAACGTGCGTAATTCCAACAATTCTAATTAACATACCGTTCGTTACCTGGTACGAATTAGCGTTG